CTACTGCTGCGCGCCCCAGTCGGCCGCGTAATCTACCCCTTGCTTCCACCACCACCACCACCACCAACAATGCAGCAGAAGCAGCGGCTCCCACCGATGACTCTGCCCCGTCCAATCCCCCGCAAACGCATTCTCCATGACAAGGAGACTTTGCCTCTTCCTTTTGTACACAGATCAACCAGTTCTCCTTCCCCTTCTCCAGTTTGTACCAGCATTTGTCCCCTTCCCCCCCCCTACTTGACGCCTACGAGAATCAACTAAGCTGTGAATAGTGTGTTTGTGCGAATGTTATCAACAAACGTTGTTTGATTATAAGTTTTATGCTCATAATTTATGCACTGGCCCCTCTTTTGTGCCGACTTCAATTCGTACCAAAGGTCCGCTACATGCAGTGGGATGTTATCGCGTCACGTCGCCGGGGTTAGAGTTGAACTGCGTGTGCGGAACTGGTTGACAAGTCACCAGGGACGCTTGTCTTGACTATGCACTATAGTGCCGGTCGATGCAATGTACGCAGCTGCTGAGGAGACATAATTGCCCCTTTAATAACTTCGGATAAGATCAGTGGCGCAATGGTCCGTCCGTAGAGCTATTAATCAGACTGGAAACTGCTGTCAAACCCTTCCCGTGGCCGTTTTACGGAACACTGGATTAAAACCTCTCAGATATCCAATCCTGCAATTTAGGTGAATCGACGGACGTCACTCCCGCGCGCTTTCAAGAATTTTTAGTCTTAGCTAACACTGCGAGCTACCTTATAGGGAACTAAGCCCAATCTCCCACTAAACCAGGTTTAAGGTATTCTCGCCCTGGCCGACGGACAGTAATATCATAGTTAGTCCTGGACCCTTATGCCTTTTGGGTGATTCTTCTCACTTACTAGCCATGAAGCGCAGTGGGTTAGACCCGGAGATAAGTACTCGCGTACTGCAGGTGGCCTTGCGTTGAATTGCAGGAGATACCTGTTCCCCTGTCCTAACAGTAACCTCAATCATAACGCCAGTCCCTCTGGAGTTTAGCGCAAGGCCAACTTTAACAAGACGAACTACTTTTAACCTTGCCCCGCCGCGCAGTCATTTGGATCGTATGAATGCTAAGCTACCTACTTATCAAAGCGCTTTTAGTGATGTTCCCGCAGATCCAAAAGCCTGTCAGCGCCCCTTTGAGTCTCCTGTCACCTAAGTGACAGTGATTAACTACACAGACACCCCCTCTTTTCTCAGTCCATCGGATATGGGACGATCCATGGGCGTATAATTTAACCTTCCTCCCGTAGGTTTGCGGCGGCCAGTTCTCATATAATCAATCTTGTGGTGAGCAACACAACCTACACTTTCAAAAGTGATAAAATACCCCTACTACAACGAAATAAGTAGGTAGTTATACAAGGTAAATGGAGTGAGGCAATACCTTAAGTTACTGTTAAGCAAGTAACTGCCCACAGACGACTATTCGTGCCCTCTGACATCAATGTCATGTACATAATGACCTCCCCCATTCAGTTCTCCAAATTAACCACCAAAGATATTAATAA